CGGTCTGAGGCCTTGGGCCCTGATAGTCATTGGCTTACGTATATGGCTCAGGCTGGTTCGAGTCTCCTGGAAGTCCCCTTGGCGATGCCTGGGGATATGTATTCTGCACTTCCTGAGCACGTGGTGCACCACATGCCTGGGGCATTCGGTAAGCAGTATCTTACGTGATCACGTGCCCTAGAGTTGCAAGCTGTATATCGTGCGTGTGCTTTCGTGGATGACACCAAGTTTTACCGTGGCCGAGGCTCGATGTTGAAAAGGGAAGACAAGTCTCTGATGACTCGCGGTGTACAGGTGCAGTGTTCTCGGAACCCTGATCTGTCTTACTGGTCGTTGGTCTCGGCCCGTTTTTTCGAGTTTTGGAAGCTGTCTCGCGCGTGTCCCTTTTTCCGATGCTGGTCGACAGCACCGCGGTGTTCTCTCAGGTCATGCGGCCCAGATTCTCTCTCACGTTGCGCCGCTGGCGTCTACCACTGAGGCGAATGTTTGGCATGGAAGGCTTGGTGACCCCCCGCGTAACTTGGATGCTCTACGAGAAGTGGTGGATGCCGCAGGTGCGGTCTGTTCGAAGGCTTGGTCGCAGGCTGAAGGCTTCTCTACCAAGAGGAGCTCCACCTGCGCGCGGTTATCTGAAGGCTGAGGATAAGGTTTGGGTTTGATATTTTGAAACTAAGCCGGGCATTGGGACTACACAAGGGGAGTATGATGAAACATCGCGAGGATTAGTGGACGCCTTGGTGGACCCCGAATCTTCATCAAGCTAGGTGTTTGAACGTTGGTTTGAAGGAGTTGCGCCCCCTGGCGGTGGTTTCCCTTGAAGAGCACTCCCCCTCGAGCTTCGCGATGTTGCTCGTGCGTGTGCGTGTTTCGCTGCTACGACGGCCGTTGGCGTCGACCTTTGGAAGCCTCGTCTTGTCCTCTCGGCGCCAGTTGGTGCATTGGAATCGTTGAGTGGCACCCTAAGTATGGTTGAGGCTGCCCTGCGTTTTCCGCCGCTGTGCGATGCGTGCATCATGGCACTGCTCCCCAAGTCTGTGTGCGATGAACGCGCAGTCGTGAAGTGCCCGGCCCTCTACCACATATACTGCAAGGCACGAGGTTTCGACATTGACAACTGGGGTACGAAGCATATTGATTTCTTGGACTCTGCGGTTAGAGGGTCGTCGGCCTCGAAGGCTGCGCTATTCCGAGAGTTATGCCATGAAGTGGCTCTGTCTGTTGGGATCTCGCCAGCCTCCATACATTGGGACCTCGAGAAGTTGTTTGACTCTGTGAGCCCGAGCAGGCTTATCCACCTGGCCTCCAATCAAGGGTACCCAGGGCACTTCCTGTATTTGGGCTCCTCGTCCACGCTGCACCTTGGCTCCTGAAGTGTCAGGGAGGTTGTCACGAGTTATTGCGGCTGTGGGGTCTATTCTTGCTGGGTGTAGCCAGAGTGTGCTCTGGGCCAAGTGCTACTTGTACTGAGTCCTTGAGAAGGCTCACAACTGGATCCCCAGAGGCCCTGGAGATAACCCATGTGTTAGTAGAGTGCCAGTCAGGTTATAGGTTGATGATATTTCACAGTTTCTGAAGGGAACCGATGCGTTTATCTGCAGGTGTCTGCCGTCAGCCGCTGCTGATTTTTGTGTTGCTATCTCTGACTTGGGCTGCGTGGTCAGCAACAAGTCGCGCGCGGTTGCCTCGTCCGCCGAGCTGGAGAGGCAGATTGCGACGAATTTCGCAGGCTGGGTGTCGAGGCCAAGTTTGCTCGGGATGTCCGAGACCTTGGTGCGATTACCACGGTCAACAAGTGACGGGCTGCCTGGAAAGCCCACCAAAGGAGGGACATTTCATTTCGCCGTGGGCGGAAGCTTGCGTATCTGTGTAGATTGCGCGGTGCCCTCGGGAAGTTTTCAAACCAGATGTCCTGGCCGCGGGTTCCTGGGGCCATGGGGTTTTGGGGCTCCCTCCAGGGGCTCTCAGGCAGATTCGTGCCTCGGCAGCTTTGTGCGCTGGTTTCTGGAAGCCCGGTCCTTGCACCACCTCCGCTCTTTGTGTACTTAAGGAATGTAGTGGTGATCCTCTATCGGCTGCGAGTGGAACAGCTAACTGTGTCATCGGAAAAGTGGTCTAGTCTATCTGACGGTCTGAAGCATGGTATTCGGCGTTCCTGGAATCAGTTGCGTGAGAAGTTCGGTAAAATAGCTCAGTCTAACCGTTGGCAGCATGTTCGTGGGCCTATTGCTGCTGTCTGCACCACTGCTGTAGATCTCGGGCTGGACCACGAGAAGTTGATCTTTGGATCGTTGAAGGTAGAGCACCTCTCTGAATTAATGAGCCTGGTTCCCGGCACCACCTCCAGTCGCGCGCGCGCGAGGGGTGTTTCCAGCCTCGCGCGCGCGAGAGGTGTTTTGCAGCAGTTTGGGCCAATGCGCCCCAGCACTTGCGCGGGCGAGGCCTCGACCGCGTAGCTGATTTTGCAGCATTTCGGCGGAAGCACAAGAAGTTCAAGATGAAGCTTATGTTTGCGCAGCGCTACTGGCCACCATCGCGGTTGGGGGTTGTTGGCCTGAGGGCAGGTTTCTTGGCGCAGGCTATTGCGCAAATGGGAAGTGTCTCAGATGTGGTGATGCTATTGAATCGACTTTGCATGCGACGTGGTTCTTTCTGCCCAGCTAATTCCCACCCGTGCGATCCTGCGGCGCGTGATAGTGGATTCCTGGTGGCTGAAGCTGAGCAAGCAGACCCTCGCTGTGCCTTCTTCTGCACACGAGGGCCCCCGAGTGCGGGCGCTGGTTGTGGGCGTGCTCCCCCCCCCCCTCGCGAGCGCGCGTGGTCTTTTGGCCTTCGTAGTGCCCCCCCCCAAAAAAAGTTCACGGCGGTAAACGGCGCCTTGATGGTTCAGGGGGGGCCCGCGCTATTGATGAACGGCTACGTAGATGTGGATTGGCTATGGTTCGTCTTGGGATGGCCGAGGACCTTGATGCGCGCTTGAATAGTGTCTTGGGCGGTACTCTTCCCTCCCGTGAGCAGTCCAGCCCCCGCGCCGAGTTGTGCGCTTTTTTGATGTTGGTTTCTCGTACTACTGGCGATGCCCTTTGCGCGTTTTTCCCTGATTACCTCCCACTGGCCAAGTCTTATCGCCAGCCGCGGGCTCAGGTGTTAGCTATTAGTAGGTAATATGAAGGATCTTTGAGTTAGGATCTGGGCTGCTCTCGATCATCGGGGCCCTGGTCGGATCGACATCCCGCGGGCTAAGGGCCGCGCGATGGCCCAGCAGCGCGCGCAGCGCGCGATCGATTGCGATGAGTATTTCTTGAATTGATGCGCCGATTATTTTGCTGGGTGGGCCGCCCGTGATGGCAGGGCCACCTCTAGGCATGTTGAGTTGATTAACTTTGTCGATCGCGTTGCTCTCGCGGTCCTTGGCCGACTCCTGGCCGCCCATGGGGAGGTCGCCCAGGCCAGCCCCCGACGTTGTTGATCGAATAGGGCGCCCCCGCGCCCCGCCCGCCTGCCCTTCCCACGCGCAGGGTGAGGGTGGACAGGCTTCGTGCGGCTGGGCATGACCCAGTCAGGTATGGTTCGTGCATCAAGTGTTGCATGTGTGTTCGGGGGTTCCCCTTGTCTGGGCGCGTCTCTGCTTTCCGCCCTGGCCTCTGCCCTGGGTCTTCGATCCTCTCTTCCGACCCCTTGCTCCGCCCCTTGTGCCCTAGATGTGCTGCTGGGCGCGCGCTCAGGGCTATGCGTGGTGTACTCTTCTGTTGGAAGTGTGGCAGGCGCGCAACTGTGAAGGCGCGGGGCCGATCGAATCCACGCTTGCCTTAATGGGGCCCCTCCATTCGAGGCGGGGAAGGTCGTCCTTTCCAGGCTGTCGCGGGGCCTTCCCCCCTATAAGTGGCGGTGGTTTCTGCCAGGCGTGAGTTTCTGACGCGCGCCCAAGCTTGACTTGGTCTCCGCGTGCTTCTAAATCTGAACCAGTCCAGGGCAGCCCTTGGAATGCTTGATGGCACGTTGGAAGTCCTCGAGTGACGGTGGCCTGTCGAGCACGTTGCCAGCGCGAAGGCCACTTGCGAGGCGTGCTGGTGCCAGCGGGCCGCGTGGCCAGCGCCGTCACTGTTGGTTGGGCACCGCTGCTTCTCCCCTTGCCCGCGCATGGCACTCGCGCGACAGTTGGAGGAGGGTCGGGTCGTTCTGAACATATGCGTGGCCACGACGAAGATGTCGCTGGTCCAGCTCACAAGCTTCGCCTTCCAGGCGGACCGTGCAGCACGTTGTAGCTTGACATCTTCCCTCGTGATGGCCGAGGTGGTGTGAGCAACAGCGTCAGCATATGTCGGTGTACCAAGGCCGCCCGTGACAAGGATACCCTCGAATGCAGCCCTGGCATACTTTTGAAAATGGCGTAGGATGAGGTAAGGTGGCGACGCTCACATGCGTCCGCCCCACCACGTACTGCGTTTCGCGGGCCAACATTGGAGCTCCACCGACGGCCACAGTGGCGACGTTCGCACGCGTCCGCCCCACCCAGTACATCGCTTCGTGGCCTGATGGGCAGCTCCACCGAAGGGCCCCAGTTGCGACGTTCGCATGCGCCGGCCCCACCAGGCACAGCGTTTCGTGGCCCCATGGACAGCTCCATCGAAGGCCACAGCGGCGACGTTCGCAGGCGTCCCCCCCACCGAATCCGGCGCATCCTTTACGATTGTTGGCCCCACAGGGAGCTCACCTTTTTTGTTGTGTGTGTGTGTCTCTGCTTGTGTGTGTTTGTGTGTGCGCGCGTCTTTCCTTGTTTTTTCCAAACGCAGCCGTGGCGTCATTGGCCGAGCACGGTTCTGGAGCACAACACGACCCCCGGAATTCTTATTCGTGAACAAGCGGCCGTCGTTACTCTGTTGTTTCGTCGCGTTTTGAGTTCTCGGTCTGTCGCTTCACATCGCCCCTGACGTTTCATCCCCCGCCCCGGTGCACGTCGGGCCCCGCATTGCGCGCGCGCCCGCGCCCCCGCCCCCGCGCAGGAGATCGCCTCCAGCGAGGAGAAGAAGCGCGAGCTCATCCCGGCACCCACGCCCGTCGTTGTCGCAGTCGTTGCCGCCGCCGTCGTCATCGTCGGCGCCGCCGCCGTCGTCGTCGTCGTCGTCGTCGCTGCCGTTTTCGTCTTCGACGTCGGCGTGTTCGTCGTCTCGGTCTCTCTCTCTCTCTCTCTCTCTCGCTTTATCTCTCTTTTTCTATATTTTTGTTGTTTCTCTCTCTCTCTCTCTTTCTTTCTCTCTCCTTCTCTTTCTCTCTCTCTCTCTGTCTTTCTTTCTTTCTCTCGGCCTCTCCGATCAGTATACTTATTTGGTTGTTTCTCTCTCTTCCTCTCTCTCGCTTTCTTTCCCTCTCCCGATCAGTCCCGCTTCTCCTTCACTTTCCTCCCTCCCCATACTGCCTCGTCCTTTCTCCTGCTCCTCCTGTCCTCCTCGGCCTTGTCCCGCTGCAGCTGCACCGTCCTACGCGGAGCACGTATGCGCGGCCGAAGCTAATTGCTAGAACACAGGCCAGATCATGAGTTGAGGACTTCGCACAGTCCACGGAGGTCGAGGGTATCGAAGGACGCCGTGGGACCGTGGGACATTGAAATTCCCACCACCACCGTCGCAGAGCCGTGTGGGAGCAACGTGCGACTGAGCAAATACTCAGATCCCTCGGAATCATTGGTTGCGCTAGCGCAAGGGTGCCAGCCGGCGCGACAGAAAAGGCAGTCAGCTTGCTCAGCAACGTTCGTATGACGAGGTTGGTATCGCGGACTGGGGGGGCGTATTAATGTACGTTGTCGGGCGCGGACGTCTTTTGTGGGCATCAGCTTGCGTCCGCAGTGATCTTTTGACCTGATCGGTACCGGTCGGGCCGATTTTGGCCAAAGCTGCGGGACCCGTGTCAAGAGGCCGCTCCCGCCGTGTGTAGCCTTTTGGCTCAGGCCGTTTTGGCCCAGGCCGTTTTTCAATGGCGCCCACATCGCAGAGCGGATTTCGTTCGGAAAACGATAGGATGGGCCCGGCGTGTCCTGGATAATTTCTTTCCAGAGTTCGAGGTGAATTTTGTGCGTTTTTGTTTGGCCACAAATGAAGACTAAAACATCCACGCGAAACTCACTTCGTTTTCTTTGCCGTCTTGGGGTTTTGCATGGGCAGAAATCCTTGCACAAATACGCTGCAACACGTCTGCAGGGGTGGCGCGCCGACGTTTTTGCTCAAGTAATTTTCGGGTGCATTTTCTCAGAGCGCTCCTGACCTGCGCCTTGGGATCCCTGGTCTTCGACGCCCCGACATCAGGGATGTCGAGCCTCGCTCGCGCCGCGCTCCCGCCCGTCAGCGTGCAGCTCCCGCGCCCGGCGATCGCGTGGGCGGAGGCGTCCAGCGCGTCGCCCGCGCCGCGGCAGCCTTCGACGCCCAGGATGGCCCGCGGGCGCCCCGTCGCTGGCAGACCGTCGGGCGGCCACGTCGAGGCCGCGCCGGGCCCCGGCGTCCTCGGCCCCTACAGGATCCGCAGGCCTCATGGGCTCAGGCCTCCTCCTGGGCCTGCGGTGACTCTCCACGACCTCCTCGAGCTGAAGAGGTTCGGCCTGAGGATCTCTGAGTCTCGCCCGGGCAGCGGCACGCCAGGCCGGCGCGTGGCCAAAGCGTTCACGGCGCCCGAGGTGCCAAGAGTGGAGCTGGTCAGCAGCGGGGCAAGGAGCGGCCAGACGAGCGACACCGAGTCGGTGAGCGACACCGAGTCGACCTTCGACATCTCCCTGGAGTCCCCGAGGCCTTCTGGGGTGGGCGCCGGGATCCTGCAGGAGCCTCGCGAGCCCGACCAACCTCGGCGACCGCAAACGCGACAGACATCGATGACCTCGACGACCGTGAACCATCTGTGCCAGAGGATCTGCTGCAGTCGAAGAAGAAAAAACGCCATAAACATAAACTTTTTGCGCTCCGCGCGGGTTTCTTGGATCCGAGCTGGCCCCCCCCCTGGCGGCGTCTCCGGCGCCGTCCGTGGCGCGCTCCGCGCGCCAGGGAGAGGGTTCCAGCGCGAAACCAAGAAATCCGCGCGGAGCGCCAAAAGTTTATGTTTATGTTGTTCTTCCTTCTTCTGCTCAGGCCGCCCAACCTCGACGACCGCAAGATCATCCTGTGCTCCGCGGGCCCGAGACAGTCGGGCAGCGAGGCGGTCGGGCCCGCGCGCCTGCCAGCAGAGGCGCCCGCCCACGTCCGCCCCAGCCACGCAGGGCGGTCGCTTTCGACGAGCCACCCGCGCTCCGCGGGCCGCTGAAGCACTGCTGATGGGCGGCTGGAAGGAGGAGGATGAGGACGAACGAAGAGGAGGAGCAGGAGGAGGAGGAGGAGGAGGAGGAGGAGGAGGAGGAGGAGGAGGAGGAGGAGGAGGAGGAGGAGGAGGAGGGAGGAGGAGGAGGAGGAGGAGGAGGAGGAGGAGGAGGAGGAGGGAGGAGGAGGAGCAGGAGGAGGAGGTGCGGCTACCCCAGATTTCAGAAGGAGGTGGCAACGATCACCCGCGACGCCGAAGTGCTTAGATCCTGCGGCTTAATTCGTTGATTTGCAGCGGATCTGTAGATCGTCTACTGTACATTTCATTCGCCTGTGCTGCTGAACAGCCTCAGCAACAGTTATACATATGCAACCTGTGCAATCTTATAGAGTTCAACCTGGTTAATTATGCCGTTGCTGCTACCAGTCGGGCTGACTAGGTGTTCAACCAGGTCATGCTGCTGAATCCAGTCGCGATGCCAGTGCTGTTGTCCGCATGGTTGATCCAGGAGAGAACCCCTGATACCTCCTGCACGGTCCAGGACTGACCCCTTGCTACCTCACGCTCGGTCCAGGACCGACTCCCTTCTACCTGACTTACATGTCAGGGCAGTTTTCTGGCCTTAACCCGAGAGCAGCCACGGTGCATATTCTATGTTCTGCGGTCCCAAGGTTGACCGCCTGCCACACTGGTGCAGGCACACAATGCAGCCATGGTGGTGCAATTTTTGTTTCTTCGGTCCCAAGGTTGACCGCCGCGCCCGAATGGTACAGGCAAGCATTGCATCGCGGCGGGCACCCTTTGCACGTTCAGGGCAGTGCTGGTACGAATCACAAGGGCCCCTGAAGCCACATCACAGTGCCATTCCCAGAAGATGAGTTTGGCGGCAGATGACGGTTCGATTCGCGCGCGACTCCGCTACATCCAGCGCGGGGCATCGGGGGATCGGTGCTTCGGGGGGAAGGAGGAGGAGGAGGAGGAGGAGGAGGAGGAGGAGGAGGAGGAGGAGGAGGAGGAGAAGGAACGCGCGCATGCGAGAGCACGTCAATGGATATGGCAGCTGGCGCTGCCTGTGCATGCGGCAGTGGTCTGGAAGGTATGACCTGGCGACGTTGACAGCGCTTAGCGGCCATTTCAATCGAGCGAGCGTCCACGCTTGGTGCTCACATCACTGCTTTCTCGGTCGGCTTGCGGGGACAGCCAGGCGCAGCAAGAATGCTGCAATGTTGCTTTTGTGCTCGCAGGGTGGCGCAATGCGACAAGTGTCGGGGCGCCAGGTGGGTTTGCCTCTCCTGTCGGTAAGACGCAGAGACCTGCGTGCTTTGCCTCCCCGATGACTCTGCGCATGCTGTCCTAGAGCTGAAGCTTTCGCGCTAGTTCGATTATGTATGACTTCTGCGTCTATGTGATCATCCTTTTCTCCGCCAGCGGGGCCTCCCCACAGCGCTACGGACCAAACGATTCGACAGCTGCCCAGACACAGAGGAGGGGTCCAATTGCGTCTCCACGCGCTGAAGTTTCTCTTCTGGCGCGACCAGTACTCAATTACAGCGTGCTTGTGTCGCGCACCGAGCAAAGACCACTCCGTGTGCGAGCTTGCGAGCCCTGCAAGAAAAGAGGCCGCTCCCGCCGCCACAAAGCAGTCGGATCCAGCGGGCGATGGGTCTCGGAGGTGTTCCGTTGTTTTCGGGTGGCGGGGGCTATCCCAGGACCCCCTGGGCCGTCATAAGACGACTCGGGATGAAAAGCTGCTCCTGGGTAAGGACCCTGGGGTCCAGGACCCGTTTCCCTCGGGATACTTTCCTTTCGTGTTAAGTTCAGAGGCCGCTCGCACTCTGCTTGGGTGCCCTGTATCTGTTGGGCTCGAGGAGTCAAGGGAGGAAGAAAAACCACACAGACCCCGACACGTGGCGTTCACTGGACGGCCTTGGGCGTTTACTAAACAGCCCTGCTCCGTTCGATTCCTTCCTCGGGGGCGCTTCCCTCTTGGCTCTCTCGGCCCCAGGGCGTGGATGCTTCTCTGCGCTGAGGGTCAAGAGGCGCCGCTCGGCCGGAGCGCCAGGGGCCCGCCGTCGGAGCTCGCATCATCAGAGCGCTCAGAGCCCTCCTCCTCCTCCTTTTCCTCCTCCTCCTCCTCCTCCTCCTCCTCCCTCCTCCCGCCTCCCGCCTCCTCCTCCTCCTCCTCCCTCCTCCTCCTCCTCCTCCCTCCTCCTCCTCCCTCCTCCTCCCTCCTCCTCCTCCTCCTCCTCCTCCTCTCTCCTCCTCCTCCTCCTCCTCCTCCTCCTCCTCCTCCTCCTCCTCCTCCTCCTCCTCCTCCTCCTCCTCCCCTTCGCCGACGGCCACCATCAGGGATGCGGCAGGTGGGATGCTCAGGTGCGCACTTGCGCCGCCCGTGCCCCAGCCTCTGCCCCATCTGCGCCCGCTGGGACGCTTCCTTGCTGAGCTCTGGCCCCCCACTCGGCCCCGCCGGAAGGGGGAGGCGCCAGGCGGCAGCGCGCCGCGTCCGCGAGGGTCTCGCTCCGCGGCTGGCCTGCGGGAGTCTCGCAGCTCGACCGGAGCGGCGACCTGCTGCGCGGCTGGGCACGGCGCGCGCGGGCGGCGGCCCCGCGCAGGGGTGGCGCAGCCGCGTCGCGTCGGCGGAGGTCTCGCCCCCTCGGCCCCGCTCCGCGACGCGGGGGACGCCTCGCTGCGCAGCTGGGCGCGCGCGCGCGCGGGGGTGGGAGGCCCCGCGCGGGGGGGGAAACCGCGCTGGCCTCGGCGGGGGGCCTCAGCGGGGCAAGGGAGGATACGGTGTCTGCCGCGAGAGGCGCGGAGTCCTCGGGGGCACCTCGTGGGCTCCCAAGGATTTCCGAGGAGATCCTCCGGGCACCTCTCTGGAGTTCTTCATCGAAGTACAAGCAACGGCACAAACATAAACGTTTCGGCGCTCCGCGCGGATTCATTGGCTTAGGATCTCATCTAGGGATTTCTCAAGGCACTTTTCAAAATCCGAGGGGAGGATTCCAGAGGACGTCGTCAGGAACGCCTGAGGATTCCTGAAGGTATCCTCAGAATGTCTACGGACATGCTCACGACTGCTGTTGAGGTTGTCCTGAACCCCTCAGGATTGCACAGGGAGTCGTCAGGCAATGCTTCGGGCTCCTGGGGATTCCCTGGGAAGGCCCCCAAGGGTCCCATCCCGCCAGTCAGCGGGGGTCCGCCAGGCGGCTTCGTCTCAGGCAGGCGCTGGAGCTCTGCATCTCGTGTTTTTTTTATTTCTTTCTCCACATTGGATGAACTCCGCGCAGAGCCCCGCCAGGGCTCTTCTGGAGGCCCCAAAAAGGACCTCGTCTAACCTGTGCAGCGCACGCAGGACGAAGGAGGCGCCGCCCGCCCCCTTGCACCAGGGGCCAGCCCTCTCGCTCGCCGCTGCTGCCGCCCCCCTCCCCCTCCCCGCCCCCCCCCCGCCCTATACTGCTCTCCCGTTGCCGCCCCCCCTTTCCCCTTCCCCCCCCCCCCGCTCCCCTGCTGCCGTTCTCTGCTCGCCCCCCCCTGCTGCACTTCTCGTGGAGGCCGGCGGGCTTATGGTCGCCCGCCCCGGTGCTCGTCTGGCGTGCTGCCGAACGCTCCGGCCAAAGATCGCTCGCCTCTGGCGATGGTCGGATGCGGCGTTCGCTCCAGAGAGGAGGGCGAAGAGGGCGAGGATGATGATGCTGATGCTGATGCTGATGCTGATGCTGATGCTGATGCTGATGCTGATGCTGATGATGATGATGATGATGATGATGATGATGATGATGCGATGATGATGATGATGATGATGATGATGATGATGATGATGATGATGATGATGATGATGATGATGATGTGGTGGTGTGTTGATGATGATGATGATGATGATGCTGGATATGATGATGATACTGATGATGATAATGATGATGAGGAGGAGGAGGAGGAGGAGGAGGAGGAGGAGGAGGAGGAGGAGGAGGGCGGTTTGCAGCAGCAGATCTTGACGCTCCATGGTGTGGAGGAGGAGGGAGGAGGGAGGAGGGAGAGGCCATTTAAGAGGAGGTTGGATGAGGAGGAGGTGGAGGAGGCGAAATGAGGTGGGGAGGAGGAGAAATTAGAGTGGATGACGTAGGGGGCGAGGAGGAGGAGGAGGAGGAAGAGGAGGAGGAAGAGGACGAGGAGGAGGAGGAGGAGGAGGAGGAGGAGGAGGAGGAGGAGGAAGAAGAGAGGCATGTAAGATTTGAGAGGAGGAGGAGGAGGAGGTGGGAGACGGAGGGGGGGACGAGGAGGAGAAATATGGCGGGAGGAGGAGAAATGAGAGTGAATGGCGTAGGGGGCGTGAAGGAGGAAGAGGAGGAGAGGTGGAGGAGGAGGAGGAGGAGGAGGAAGAGGAGGAGGAGGAGGAGGAGGAGGAGGAGAGGCATGTAAGATGAGATGGGAGGAGAAGGGGGAGGATGAGGAGAAATGGGAGTGGATGGCGAAAAGGGCGAAGAGGAGGAGGATAATGACGACGTGCTGCAGCGGAACGGTAAGCCGGCCAGGATGCAGCCAGGGATGGGTCCGGAGATCAGGTCGTTTTTGTTGCTTGGAGGGTCCGGAGAACCCGACCTTCGCACATCATGTGCCGATCTAGTCGCCCCCCCATCTTCCCTCCTTCACTGGAGATGGTGTGAGCAGGAGCAGGTACGACAGTGTCCTGCAGACACCAGGGGGGAGACGAGATGTATGATTCAACGGAAGGCATACCCAGGCTATTCCCCCACTCGTCCACTCGTTTGCGTGAGAACGCGGTGCACGAACGGGGGGTATGAGCGTGAGGGCGGCGGCAGGGAAAGACGCATTCGAGGAGGAAACGCAGGTACACGGCGAGCGGGAAGGGGGAATGCGAGGGAGCAGCGGGGGCGCATGGCTTCTGCCGTATTCTGCCCGCTTATGCGAGCGAGCGCATCCGCCCGCTTCTGCCAGACCCTGCACGGCGCGCAGAGAGCCCCTCGGTGCAGCTCTGCCTCCCCCTCGGAGTTCCCTGAGCAACCTTGGCTCGCATGGCCTACCCTCTCTTCGCCCTCCTCCGTGAGGCCTCACGCGCCTCGGAAGAGCAAGCGCCGCGGCGGGACGAGGGTGGCGCGACGCGTGGCGGAGGCACCCATCGACGTCCACACGCTCCAGGATGCGCTCTCGAAGGTGCAAAGATGGGGCCCTGAGGGCTGGGGCCCGAAGGATAGGAAGGGGTCCCGGGTTGAATTGATATTTTTGAGGCCCCTCGTCTTTAGGCTTTAGGGCACATCCGTCGGGGCCCATCTTTCCACCGCCGACGGTCTTATTGCATCTCCGCATTGCTGCGTCGAGCGCCAGCGTCAGCAGGCGCGTCAGACGGGAAGTCAGCCTTCCCTTTGGTGCCTTACGTAAGTTTTTTATCGCCAAGGGCCCCAGGGACCCACTGAACTCTTGGGGACGCCTGAAAGCTCGAGGATGGGGCGTGAATGTGCCCCTATTTTCTTTGCAGCAGAATTTCTCATCGTGTGCACGTGCCGTGTGCACTCGTGCGGGCTCCTCCTCGATCTGCTTCCGCCAGCAGGTCGAGGAGGCCAGTGCCACTGCCGCTCCCAGCACTCGGACCTCCTCTTCTGCACTGGGGACGGCTGGCGAGGAGTCGGGAGGAGGAGGAGGAGAAAACAAAAAAAGGATGAGGAGGACGGCGACGAACACCTGACGGAACACCATCCGCCTCAAATCTCTGAAGCGTTTTGGGACCAGCCTGCAGCCGAAGATACAGGGCCACCCCTACCAAGGAAGAGGAGGAGGCGGAGGCGGAGGAGGAGGAGGAGAGGCGGTCAAGCCAGCGCCACGACGACCGCCCTCCGTCCCCCGTCCATGTCTCCTCCGCCCCCGCGATGTTGCGGTGCTTTCGTTTTTTATCACCCTTCCCCTCGGCCTTGGCCAGGGGCCGTTGCCCGCAGGCCGTTGGGGTGTACAGTATGATCCAGAGAGGACTGCGCCCTTACACGCCCGACCCCAGTGGCCACTCATCCTAAAATGGGATGGGTGCCGGGGTCGCGGTTGCAAGAGGAGGAGGAGGTGGAGGAGGAGGAGGAGGAGGAGGAGGAAGAGGAGGGGAGTAGGAGAAGGAGTAGGACTCAAGATAGCCAGGTCAAATGAGTCAGCGTGCCCTCCCATTCTCACCCTCCCTCCAATTACGTCATCATCAATGGTGGCACAACGTGATGTTGGGGTTTGAACGCGTTCGCACCTGGCGAACGGAAGACGCTTGCGCGCGGTCTGGCTTCTGACGACTTGGCGAAGGGACAGCTGCGCAGAGGCGGGAGCGGAACTTGGAAATGTTTAAGCGGTGAGCTGCGGCGGGAGCAGAATTTAGCCTTCTCTTGGGCGGCCAAATTTCTCATGGGCGCCGCGAAGACGATGCCTGCGCCGCACCGAAAAAGCACATACATCTTCTCGTACAACCTGCGCGGCGTTTGGGCTAGAACAGCATTTCACCCGCCCTGGTGCAGCCCGCTGCCGCTGGTGCTTGTATGCGATTCTGCGAACGAAACATGCGCCGCGCCCACGCTGGAACGCCACTTCCAAGCGAAATGTGCACGGATCTTGGGCGAGAGAGACAAGTGGCCCGCTCGCGCGGGGAACCTAAATTTGGCGAATGGAAAAACGCAACGCGCCGAGGCGTGAGCGCCATTTTCAGGCAAAGTCTGCGCGGCACCAATGCGGAAGCGATACTTTTATGGGTCATCACCTCCTTTTGGAAATCGAGGATCGAGGAGCAGGGAGGATTGAGGATCGAGGCGGTTGTGGACGTTTCTGGGTTTCGTTGGGTGTCGGGGTGGCTCAAAGGGGTTCTTTTCCTGGACTTGATGTTCTTGAAATCGTTGGGGGCGTTCCCCCGCCCGCTTTGAATCTTGACATATTGTGCAGAATCCCCCTGACTCTTAGTAGGGTTGTGCTCCCAACCCTCTTGTGTTGGGTTCGCGTTTGGAAAGACACTGCGGTCGCGCCTCCTCCTCCTGCCCCCCTCTCCTCCTGCCTCCTCCTGCGCTGCTTCCTGGGCGGCTGCGAACTGTGCAACTGTTGCCACTTTCGTGGGCTCCTGGGAGGCACGGCGGGGACGGGGACCACGTGCACCCAGACGAGATCTCGTTGCTCCCTGGGAGGCTGCGAACTGCGCAACCGTCGCCACTTCCGTGGGCTTCTTTTAAAGCACGTCGGAGTAGGGGAGCAAACATGTCCAGTCGAGATTTCGCAGCTCCCTTGGAGGCTGCTAATTGCGCAACTATCGCCACTGTCGTGGGCTCCTGGGAGGTCAACAGTGTCGGGGGCCACGCGCACCCAGACGAGACGTGGATGCTCCCTGGGTGGTTGCGAACTGCGCAATCGTTACCACTTTCGTGCGTTCCTGGGAGGTCGTCTGGCACGGCGGAGTACGGGAGTAAACGGATCCAGCCGATACATCACAGTTCCTTCGGGGGGCTGCGAATTGCGCAATTGTTGCCACTTTGATGGGCTCCTGAGAGGCACGGTAGAGTATGGGGAGTCAACGGGTAAACGGATCCAGCCGAGACTTGGGGAGTAAACGGATCGAGCCGTCGCAGCCATTTGGGAGGTTACGAGCTGCGCATTTGTCGCCACGTTCGTGGGCTTTTGGGGGGCACGGCGG